ACTGAGTCATTTCCTTCACAAGGGAGGGAAAAAATGTGTTCAGATTTTAGCAGAAATGCCCACCCCTCCCCACCCAACTCTCATACCCAAACCTGCTCCCTGATCTTTCTCAGGGTGCAAACCTTTTGCCAGGAAGCATCAGTTGCTCCAGGATCTCGTATGCATCCTTACAAACCTGTGTGGCCCGGACACCAGGGGTCACAATTGACTCCAGGGAAAGGAACCACCCATCAGGCCTGATCCCTCAGGGAGGCTGAGCTTCCTGTCTTCCATCCCAACGACAGGAACAGACTTGCATCCCCAGAAGTGAGCCATCTGCAGAGAGTCTTCATCTACCCAGTGGGGCCTTCCTTTCTGTCCTGTTTCGTCTGTCCCCCTTCCCACCCAGTTTCTCCTTCTCCGTTTGTTTTGCTGTCTTTCTCTATCTCCTCAGTCATTCACTAACTCATTTTACCTTATTGACTGAGTTCTGAGCCATAGGTGCCCACTCCCAGTTTCTCTCCTATTCAGGTGCCCTCTGCCCACTTAAGCTGAGATGTTCACAGCCCCTTCTCTGACCAATTCTAGAGCTTGAGCTGAGTCGAGCTACAGCCCCTCGGATGTTTCCTGACAACACGGTAATGCACAGTATTTATCAGCTGTTGTAACAGCTCTATTAAGATATGATCAGGTATAATAAATTCAACCATTTTATTTGGACACAATACCTTCATTTTAAATAAACAATTCAATGGCTTTGGACATTGCATTACAGCCCACAACTGCAATCACAATATAGAGCACTTGCACCAGGCATGGTGGCACATGCCTATAATCCTAGTGGCTCAAGAGGACTGAGGCAGGAGGATCTCAAGTTCAAAGCCAGCCTCAGCAACTTAGTGAGGCCCTAAGCAACTTAGTTGAGACCCTGTCTCAAAATAAAAACTAAAAAAAGGACTGGGATTTGGATCAGTGGTTAAGTGCCCTGAGTTCAGTCTCCAGGACCAAAAAAAATTGAACCTTTGCATCTCCTCAGGAGTTCTCTGGTGCCATTTTTTTAAATAATTTCTTTTATATGTATATATATTCATTTATTTATTTTTTAGCTGTATTTGGACACAATATCTTCATTTTATTTATTTATTTTTATGTGGTGCTGAGGATCGAACCCAGGGCCTCACATGTACAAGGCAAACGCTCCTACTGCTGAGCCACTACCCACCCCAGCCCTGGTGCTGATTTTTTAACCAATCCGCTCTCCCTACCCTAGCTCCTGGCAAACTTTAATCTGTTTTCTGTCAACATGGTTCTGGATTTTTCCTTTCTTAGAATTTCAGATAAATGATATCATGTAGTTTGTCGGATTTTGTGTCCTGTGTCTTACTTAGGATGATGTTGAGTTTCATCCACGTTGCATATGTTGCTGAGGCGTGTCTCACTGTGCTTAAACCACAATATGGGGTTTTGTTTGTTTTTTATTCACCAGTTGATTGGCATGGGGGTTGTTTCCAGTTTGGGGCTGAAATGAATAAAGTTGCTAAGAACATCAATATATAAGTCCTTGGGTGGACATTATGTTTTCAGTTTGGGGGGGGGCGGGGCGGGGTACATGCTTCTGAGATTGTTGGGTAGTGTGGTCAGTGTTAACTTTTGTATGAAATGGCCAGCATGTTTTCCAACCTGGTGGACCGTTCTCCATTCCCAGCAGGTGTGCACAAGAATTCTAATTGCTCCACATTCTGATCAACACTTGGTATGGTTGGTTGTTTTAATTCTAGCCATTCTTGGAGGTATGTAGTAGTATCTTAGGGTGGGTTTAATTTGCATTTCCCTGATAATGATGAATGTTAAGCATCTTTTCATGTGTTCATTGGCCATTCTTTTGCATTCTTTGCCCAGTTCTTATTGGATTGTTTTTTTTCTTATGAATGTATTTAAGAATTTGTCCAATATGTTTTTATCTCCCTCTTTCTACCCTCCTTCCTTCCTTTGTTCCTTTGGGTCTATATGTTATCCCATTGTGTCTGTCCTAACTGGACTCTGCCCATTCTTAGGAGCTTCCTCTATCTCCATCTCCCTCCTCCTGTGGTGTCTTCCTCCTTCTTTATAGGTTCTCCTCTCTTTTTACCTCTAGGACACCTCAAACCTGAGAGTCTGGACTCCTTTACCATTCCATATTAGAAATGATTCCATCACAAGCCCACAGATTTCCAGCCTGGTTACAGTCAATTTTCCAAATAAGGGAAGATGAAGTTCTAAAGAGGTAAAAATACAGAGCCTGGTATACTGGAGAGATGGCTTTGCATTTAGTACCCTCCTCTTCCCTAGAAGATTAATAGTGCTTAAGATAGAAGTGTTTTCATTCAAACATAACATTGGAAAGTGAAGAGTATTAAGTGAGGTTCTTCCTGCTACTTTAGTGGTCCAGTAGCCTCCACAAACATAGGAGTAGTTATTTGCTTATAGTTTTTTTTTTAATTGAACCAATAAAAATAAATACTTTTTTTAAAACTTGCAACTCTGTGCCAAAATGTTAAGCGTAAGGTGTAAAATGTTTAAATTAGAACTTAAAACTATACAAATTTATTTCAAATATAGAAATGTAATATAAATTACATGAAGTATGTAATAGGAAAATAAAAACAGTTAAAAAAAAAAAGAGAAAGGGTGGTTGTTTGCATAACAAGGCTCTCCCTTGACATAGCTCTCAAGCCCAGCAGGACCTCCTTGCCCTATTATACCAAAGGAGCAGCCTAGCCCAAAGCCAGCTCCTTTATATCTATTTGAAGAAACTAGTTTGACAATGTTTAATTGCAAAGCTCAGAACACCTTATTCAGTGTTAGAGTAACTCGGATGGGAAATTAGGGAATGGTTTCTTTATTTTAAAAATTTTTATTGAGATGTAAATCACTTACCATACAATTTTCCCACTTATGGTTTAAAATTCAGTGGTTTTTAATATATTTACAGACATGTGCAATCATTATTTCTAACAATTTTAGAACATTTATTAGTACAGAAAGAAACTCTATATTCAAGCTATCACCAAACTCTTTAGCTATCACTCCCATGTCCCCTTTATCTCCTTAACTCTGGAAACCATGAGTTGGCTTTCTATCTCTAGAGATTTGTCTATTCCCAACATTTTCATATAAATGGAATCATAAAATATGTGGTCTTTTGTGTCTGGCTTTCATTTAGTACAATGATTTCAAGGTTCACCCATGATCTTATACATGTCAGTACTTAACTCTTTGTATGGTTGGATAGTATTCCATTGGATGGATATATCATACTTTGTTTATCCATTCATCAGTCGGTGGACATTTGGGTTGATCCCATCTTTTGATTATTATAAATAACTCTTCTGTAAACATTTGTATACACGTTTTTACATGGTCATGTATTGTTATTTCTTTTGGGCATATACTAGGTACTTCTCTTGGGTATTTATATACTAGGAGTGATCTTACTGGGTCTTATTATTTGAGGAACTGCCAGACAGTTTTCTAAAGGGATTGCACCCTTTTGCATCCCCACCAGCAATGTATGAGGGTTTCAACTTTTCTACCTCCTTGTCAACATTTGCTATTATTTTACAAGAATGATTTTCCTGATCCTATAGCTAGATTCTCAAAATGTTGCACATACATTTACACAATCACTGACATAAATACACCACAAAACTATATAGTTGTGCTTACCTACACAATCCTCTAGACTTTACATGCATAACATACAGAATATTGTAGATATTTGCCCTCACATATATACCTGCATATATATATATATATATATATATATATATATATATATATATATGCAAACTCATGCAGGAGGCATGTATTTCAACCCATATGGTTGAATATACCCATATATACAATAGACACATATACCTACAATTGCTGTGGGTTCTGAGCAAACAGAACCAGAAACACATGCACTTAGTAACATGTGCATACCTGCACAAACACAACTACACAAATAATAGTTGTACCCAAAAACAGTCCTAGAAAGGCACATATGTTTAGTAACCATCATTTATGGACAGACAACTGAAAACAGATCCGCTGTGTTTACCTTGGATGGCATGGAGGGAGATAGATGGTTAAGGCTTTGTCAGTGTTTCGTGTACAAGGTAGAAAGATTTTTTTGTTCATTTATTCATTCTTTAAGCTACAAGTACATATTGAACGCACAAGAAAAAGAAGGATGAATAAGACTGACACAGTTTCTATCCTTGTGGAACTTAAAAGTCTAGTGGGAGAATCAGTAAAAAGCCAGAAAATAAACCAGTATGTGAGATGTGGCAGGAGAGAGATAAGCAAGGTGGTGTGTTCGCTAATAGGCAACTCCTGGGATAGCAGGCAGTTTTTAGAGGCTTTTGTCATTGTTGTTCCTTTTTACCCTGGAGAAAGGGATTTGTGTGTGTGTGTGTGTGTGTGTGCGCGCATGTGTGTGGGTGTGGGGTGTGTGTTAACACCATGAGTAGTCAATGAGTGTGTGGGCTCAGAACCTAGGTGAATTGATTTTAAATTTTCTTTTCTACTACTTTTGTGACCTTTCTTTTTCTGTGTGTCTCAGTTTCTCATCCAAAAAACAAGGAATAATAAGGATACTTGTAAAGCACTTTAAAACTGCCTGGCACGTGCTAAGTTCTGAATCCATCTTAGCCATGGTATCACTTTCCAAAAGCAGGTTTTCATAGAAGGTAGGGAGCTCTGTGGGAGAGGGTGGGGTGGGGTGAGGCGGGGCAGGGAGCAGGAGGAGTAGCAGCAGTGGCTGTAAACTGGACAGTATCTGCACAGTCTTGTGGAATGTGGCCCTGGCATGCCACCCAGGCAGGCCATCAACTAGTCTGTTCCACCCCATTCTACCCAAAGCCACAATCCACAGAGAAGACACATGGTGGGTGGTGCTGGGCATGGCTCTTGGTCTTCAGCTGCGTCAAGCCTTATTTGCTGCAGGCCTGACTTGTGGCATTCACTGGTTCTGCTTCTCTGTCCTTCTGTCTGTGTAGGTCAGCACTTATCATCCTGCACCTGCCTCCCCAGGACATTCCATGGCCACGGTCAGTCTGCCTGGCTCCCAGCAACACCTCTCCACTAACATGTGAGTAAAACCTTCATCCCTCCATCCCGGGTCCCTAGTACAGAGGAGTCATCTCTGCTAGCCCATTGCCGTTGAGCCTCCCATGCCCAGACCAGAGAAACAACTCCCCTTCTTTTACCACCTTCAAAGGAAATAGTGATGAAAAACACAAATTAGCAAGCCACAACATCTTAGCTCATTATTTGGCAAAAGCAGAAAGAGACTGTAAGATTATATACCATTACACCTCTGGGAGATTGGCTATTGAGCAATCTCTATTGTTTTTCTTCAGATTCAAAACACCAGGTCATAAATAAATGTTGATTTAGTAATCAGCAAATATATATATATATATATATATATATATATATATATATATATATATATATATATATAACATTTTGGGAAGACAAACTTGTAGCTGAGAAGACCATGACCTCTTTGATAAAGCATCTCAGTGTTTAGAATCTAGGACTTGCTAATGTCTGGCCTGAGGGTCATATTCCAGTGGCCCGACATGGGTTATTTCTTGAATAGCATTGGTGGGGCAGCTAATCTCACATCCTCAGCCCCAGTGGCACTATTCCCTGTTGTCTTCCCTGACTCTTACCTAATGTTACCCGCTTGAGTCCCATGTGGGCTTTAGGATGCAATGTCTCTGCTTTAGCCAGAGGCCATTTTTGCCCATTGCAACACCCTGTCCTCCATCTCACCAAGCAGTCTATGTTTCACTGTGTGTCAAAAAAGAGAGAAAATTAACCTCTGCCTCCTACTTCCCAATGTTTGCTTCTCTGCCTACATTCAGATAGCTCCTTGGGCCATTCCTGGAGTCAAACATCCCCATGCTCCCAGTCACAGGGGTGGATCAGAGAGTTCTGTGTTGACTTCTCACTCCCCTGAGCCTTGCTGGTTATGAGCATTCTCTTGGAGGACACATTACACTGTCGTGAAAAAGCTGTCGTGGAAGACCATTTCTTGTAGGTTTGAGACTCATCTCTGTTACCAATCCTTGGTCATCTTTCTCCATTTGAGGCCAGTTTACCAATTGTTTTAGTACCAATGTTGGCCTATATTAGTGTTCTGTGGTGCTCTATGGAGGAAGAAAAGGAAGATGGAGAAGGTCGTACTCCTCCCCCTCCATGACTGTTTCAACCAGGCTTACCATTTTTATCTGTCTACATAATGAGGTTTCCCCCTTTTTTTTTAATTTCCATTTTAAAAGGTTGTTATTGCTAACCATTGGGCTGCTGCATTCTGGGGTTCCAACTACCTCTGCCATTGGCAGGCTTGATGCTCTCCACCAAGCATGTCCCCTTCTTCCCTCACCGGTCCCCTGTGTCTCCCAGGTTTGTAGCCCTACACTCCTACTCAGCCCATGGACCTGACGAACTGGACCTGCAAAAGGGAGAAGGCATCAGGGTCCTGGGGAAGCACCAGGATGGCTGGCTGAGGGGCATCTCCTTGGTCACTGGGCGAGTTGGCATCTTCCCAAACAACTATGTCATCCCCATTTTCAGGTGCGTGCCCTCCAATCTTAGGCATCAGGAGGTTGCTTCATCCTAGACCAGAAGCCTTCTGTGGGTTGCAGTGAGGCAGACTCAATTATCTTCCAGAAATTATCTTCCAAGAAATAGCCTTTGCCCTCGTACCCTCCTAACTCTTCAAAGAAACACATAGCAAAAACAGTTAACTGTCTTACAGCTCGGGGGAGTTGACAGGCACTTTGCCTCTTTTAACTCACTGGCTATACCCAAGGATCTTGTGTTTGTCATTTTACAGGTGAGGGAACTGATATGCAGAGTTAAGAAGCCTATTGAAGAGCTAGATTTCAGGTTTTCTTCTGCATAAGTCCCAGAAGTCCCACATCACACCCCAACACTCCATCTAGTGGAATAATTGGGAAAGACGACTTCCCAAAGCATCTTGGGAACGTTCCTAGGATGTTAGACCATCAGGTAGAGTTCCATGAATTCAGACCACCACTCGCCCACCCACACTCCAACAAAAATGCTAGTTACCCCACAGTGCTCTTCCTACCAGTTTTTCCCAGCCTTTTCTTTTTTTCCACTTCACAGCATATCTATTGATTTCATTGATCCAATTTATCCTGTCACCTCACATGGCCCCAATGCACATAGTCCCCAGAGCTACCCATGACTCCTCCTTCTTCTACCCCACATCAGCCCAGGCAAAGCCACGAGACAGGGAGTCCGAAGAACACTGACTTTATGATGTACTAGAGGGCCTCAACTCCAGGGAAAGTGATTGGACCCTGGGTGGGGGAGGTGTTCTATCTAGAGTCATGTCCACTTTGGGAGATCTTCACTTAGTTGGGCCCTTGTCTGGAGTTGGGCATCAAAGATTGTGAGGAAATATCAAACTGCATCACGGGAGAAACTGATGAAGACACTTGGGTCATTTAACCTGTAGAAGACAAGGGACAGAGGAGTCTTAGTACATTGTAAACCAGGAAGATTTGTTGCATGAAGGGGCAGTACAGTAGACTAGGAGGTTAGTTGGAGAGAAAGATTTGGTTCAAAGAAAGTCTGCATTTTCTAACCCATAGATTTTCCACCAGGCTAGCTGGCACGGTACAGAACACTCTTTCTAGAAAGAGTGCAAAGTCTAGGTCCTCACAGATCCAGGATTACATAAAAATATTTTTTTCACATGGCAGAAAGTTGGAGTAGAAGATCCTAGTTGTTTCTTTCAATGAAAGGTTCTTGAAATTTATTAAAAAGTCCAAACTACCAAGAGGCAAACTAATGGGTTCTGTAACTGATGCTCTCAGTCATTATTATTTCAGTAAATATTTATTGAGTGCCAATTATGTTTCAGGCACCTTTCTAGGCCCTGTAGAAATACCCATGAACAAAATATGTAGAATTTCTGCCCACAGGAGCTTATGATCTAGTGTGAGAGAGATAGGGAACAAGATAAACAAGTAATACATATTGTGGATTAAGGGCTAAGAAGAAAAGTCAGGAGAGTAGGATAGAATTTGTGTAGAGGTGGGTTATAATTTTAGATAGGTTGACCAGGGATGATCTTACTCAGAAATAAGAAGGAGGAGTGAAGGAAATAAAGATGTGAACCATGTGATTCTGTGAGAGAAGTGAATTCTAAGCCAAAGGAACAGCAAGTACAAAGGCCCTAAGGTGGAAGTGGCCAATAGAATCGAATTGGAACAAGGGAGAGGGAGAATAGTAGGAGACGAGGTCATCTAGAATGTCCTAGGTCATAATGAGGGACTTCATTTTAACCCTATTACAGAGTTTTGAATAGCGGAGTGACATGAATCTAACTTACGTTTAACCAGAGTATCTCTTTCTGCTGGGAATTTCGAACTAGTAAGAGAATAGACTAGAGAGAAAATAGTAAAAACAGAAAAACTGGTTAGGAGGATATTGTAATAATCCTGGGGAGAGATGATTGTAAATAGAACCAGGGCGTTGTGAAGTGGATACAGTCCAAAGTGGACAGATGCTACAAGTACCCTGAAGTTAGAGGCAACAGGATTTTCTAAGAGTTCAAACATCAGATGTGAAAGAAGAGAGTATTCAAGGTGAGTCTCGGTTTTTTGCCTTGGCTAACTATCAAAGGGAGTGGCCTTTTACTGATGGTGATGATGAAAACCGTAAGATGGGGAGATTGAGTTATGGGGAAAGCAACAGCTTAGTTTGCAACAGACTAAGTCAGAAAGTCCCATTAGTAATTAGAGTAAAGATGTTGGTAAGTTGAATGTACAAGTCTAGCATCTAAGAGAGCGCTCCAGGCTTCAGATGGTATTTAAAGCCCTAAGATTAGATGAGGTCATCATCATAGCATCAGTTCTATCAAGAGACCAACAAAGAGCCAGAAGCTACAGTCTTCAAGGAATGAGAGGACACACAGACCCTGAGGATGAATAATGACCACACAAGGTGCAGGGGTGGGTGTAGAGTCTGATGATACAAGTCGAAGCCAGGAAGTCTTGAAGAGGATGGGGAATGATTTAGAAGTGACAGGAGCAAGGTAAATGCCTATTCTAAATTAAGAACCATTGCTTCCCTGAAATCTAACTAGAATTGTCCAAGGCTCATGCCTACAGGTAGAGCATTTGCTTCTACATTTAACTCTAGGCCCAGTCCTGGCTGTGCCATAAAAGAACATTAGAATAATGGTGATCAGATATAAGCAGATATAAACTGAAAGTCTCCCGGAGAAACCAGAACATATGGTCACCCTAACTAGAATGCATGTAGGTTTTTATCCCTATGGATCTCAAGGCTCCCTGCCTCTCCTCTTTGGCTCTTCTCCTGGATGATATGTTGTGCTCTTGGGCAAGCCCTGAGCTTCTGTTCTCATCCCCTCTGAGGTGAATGTACGTGAGACAGTAGATGGAATCTCAGCACCATGAATTACCACTGAGTCCTCCCTCCCTGCTCAGAGAAACCTGAACATGTGCATAGCTTGAGCTGCTACTAATGTTGAGGCATGATTTTTCTTATGTGGAAGCAGCATTCCCAAGAAGAACAAGTGCCTGTCAGAGAATATACTCCTAAGGTTATTAGATGACAGAGAATCCATGCTTTCTTTGATGATCTTTCTGATATAAAGAAAGTTCCCATTCCCACTGACCTTGGATTTGAATGACAAATGCTCAAGTTGTCTATCTGGGTGCAGCTAAGCCATATTCTTAGCCAGGCCTTCCACTGTGGGAAGTTTCATTCTTCCCATGTCTCAGGACTGAAAAATGCTGTCCTTTGTCAGCTGAGTTTCTACTACTGTTAATAAGAGATGTGGGTGAATGTAGTGGGTTGGGCCACACGGGCAAGCCTCTCCTTTCTGTTCTTTGGTTCTGTTTGACTTTTTTCCATCAGGTGGAAAACCTCCCTTGTCTTTGTTTTCTGTTTGTAGTGACGGCTTGCACTGCCATCCAGTCTTCTTGGTGTATAGTGCAGCCTTTTGTAAAAATAGCAGGGCTGGGAGAGGTAGATGCACCCTGAGCACTGGAAACTTTACTCTTGTTAGCATCATCTCTTATGAACTGAGCCAGCCAAAGTATGGAGATTGATTTAGAAAAGGATTGACCAAAACATCAAGGTTTAGAGTTAAGATTCAACAAGTGAGCCTTTTATCTACCAAGAGTCAAAAAGGCTTCTGCGCTAGTCTGTTCCAGCCCTCTAGACTAAATGGTGACACCAACCTACACAGTTCTTGTTGACCTCAACTAAATCTCTGCCACAGTGAAGTCTCTTCCCAGATCCTGGAGACATCCATAAGCTCAGGTTGTATAGAACATTTGTCAAATTTTCAAACTTTTCATCTGTCCAACATCCAAACCCCTTCCTTTTTTTTTTTTTTTTTTTTTTGGCACTAAGTATTTAACCCAGTGGTGCTCTACCACTGAGCCTGTTTAAATTTTATTTTAAGACAGGTTCTCACAGATTTGCCAAGACTGCCTTTGAACACACGATCCTCCTACCTCAGCCTCCTATTATAGGTGTGTGTGGAATTATAAATATGTGCCAAGGTGCCTGACCAAACCTCTTCTTTTTCTTTTACTTTTTATTTTTTTATAATTGTAGATGGACAGCATAGTTTATTTTATTTATTTATTTTTATGTGGTACTGAGGATAAAACCCAGTGCCTCACATGTGCTAGGCAAGTGCTCTGCCATTGAGCCACAACTCCAGCCCCCAAACCCCTCTTTTTTTTTTTTTTTTTTTGCAATGCTGGGGATTAACCCAGGGCCTTGTGCATATGAGGCAAGCACTCTACCAACTGAGCTATATTCCCAGCACCCCCCCAAAACCCCTTCTTAATAGCACCAATATATCTTTGAACTGCCTTCTTCGTGTGTCGTCTTGGTAGGAGGAAGATGTTTCCTCTCTTTTCAGAGACCAAACAAACCCAATACTCCTTTTCCTCCTCAACCCTGCATGCAGCTAAGGGTCAAGCCAGTATTAGGCTCCCTCTTGGGACTTTAACACTTGAGCAGGAGAGGGAAGATGCGGGCAAGTTGGAAAACCTAGCACAGTGAGGGCACCAACAGCAGCATTTGATCTGTGGCTTCCTCCTATAGATTCCTCTGCTGAGCCCTCTGCACCCTCCTCAGATCTGCTACTAAGTTCTTTCCTCCCCCTCTGCCCTCCCAATAATTCTCTTCTGCCCAGTTAGCCAGGATATTTTTTTTTCCTTACAGTCTTCCCAGATACATATGCCTACCTAAGTAGCCTTATGGGTGGAGAAAATTGACTAGTGGATTGCCACTCCTTGGCCTTTAACTCTCTGCACAGACTATGTCAAGATGGTCAAGTCCAACCTTTCTCCTTACCAGGAAACTGCTGCTAGTGCTGATCCCAGAAGAGCTGCTCTTTGTAAGGCACCTTTTGAATACTGGGCAAGCTCTTAAGGACAACATACCAAACAGACAAAAGGACACAGGGACATGCTCAATGGAACAAATTAGAAGCAACATCCACTGCCTCCCACTTAAGTCCAAAATGCTTTTCTGTCTCCTCTGGAAAATAAGGACATAATGTCTTCAGTTTGGGATGTCATGGGGCTTAATTAATACATTTCAGCAAAGTGCTTTGATGTTGGAAAAAAAAAAAGTGCTAGGTAAGTGTTGAGCTTCTTGCCAAGAGACATAGAGTAACTCAGTATTGCATGGGAGACTTGGGATTTGGGAGTTCCTGGAATCTGGCCCAGTACTGGGCTCAGGAAAAAAAAAAAAAGTTCAGACCTCAGACCATAAACAGCCATTCAAAGAAGGGACTGGTGGAATAAGGCTGGCTTGGGCCTAATTAGCTGTATTCCACTCTTGCTGCTCCTGCTACTGCTGGAAATAATTTTGAAACCTGTCTTTCCTGTTGCTGATCCACTTTGCAGTATCCAGCTCTTTGCAGCCTCTGTTCAAAAGACAGATCAGTTGTGCTCTGCCATGGAGCTCATGCTGGGGATTGCTTTCCTCTGCCCAGATCTCATCTCCAGAATATAGTCTGATCTCTCACTGGTGGACAGTCTCACTCCCCTTTATGCATCACACCACCATGGGGACCAGGCAGGCTGACAGTTGCGGATAGAAGGTCCTTTCTGCTAGCATCAGTTCTTACAGTATCTGGCTGCATGTACTTTTGAGGCAGGTGCAGGACACAATTAAATGACACTTTGCCTATCTTTACATGATACTGGCTCGTTATTAAACCACATCCTACATCTAGATAACCCAAAACATCTCCACCAGAAGATTCCTAGAGCTTATAAATGTGTTTAACAAAGTAGGAATATATAAGATCAACACCCATAAATCAGTAGCTTTGCTATATTCCAACAGTGATTCAGCCAAGGAAGAAATCAGGAAAACCATTCCAGTCACAATAACCTCAAAAACAAACAAAAAAAAACCCTTGGGAATTAATCTAACCTAGGAGATAAATGAGGTCTACATTGAAAATTACAGAACACTGAAGAAAGAAATTAAAGAAAATTCTTCGAAGATGGAAAGACATTTCATGTTATTGCATAGGCAGAATCAATATTGTCCACATGGCCACACTACCGAAAGCAATATACAGATTCAATGAAATCCTCATCAAAATACCAATGACACTCCTCACATAATTAGAAAAAAACAATTCTTAAATGTATTTGGAAGAATAAGAGACCCAGAATAGCCAAAGCAATTCTAAGCAAGAAAAGCAAAGCAGGAGGCATTTCAATACTTGATCTGAAATTATACAAATGTAACAAAAACAGCATGGTATTAGCATCAAAATAGACATGAAGACCAATGGAACAGAATAGAAGACACAAAGACAAATTCACATACCTAGCCACCTGATATTTGACAAAGGTACTTTAATAGAAAATGTATAGATATATATTTTGGAGAAAGGGTAGCCTTTTTAACAAATAGTTCTGGGAAAACTGGATAGCTATATATAGAAAAATAGAAGTAGACCCTTATTTCTGACCCAGCACAAAATTCAAATTGAAATGGATCAAAGACTTAGGAATTAGACCAGAAATATTACAGCTGCTAGAAGTAACAGGGTCAACACTCCATTATATAGGTGTTGGCACCAACTTCTTTAACAAGAGCCCCAAAGTACAAGAAATAAAATTAAGAATAAATAGGAGGCCATCGAACTAACAAATTTCTGCTTGGGAGAAAATCTTTGCCACCTGCACCTCAGAGCATTAATCTCCATAATATACATATATAAATAACTCAAAAAACACCAAAACCTCACAAGTAACCCAATCGATAAATGGGCAAAAGAATTAAAGAGAAACTTCTCAAAAGAAGAAACACAAATGGCCAACAAATATAAGAAAAAATTTTCAGCATCTTTAGCAATTAGGGAAATGCAAAACAAAACTACACTAAGATTTCACCTCACTCTAGTCAGAATTGCAATGATCAAGAATATGAACAATAATAAATGCTGGCGAGGTGGTGGATAATGGTACAGTTGTACCTAGTTGGTGGGACTGCACACTGGTACAACCACTCTGGGAAGCAGTATGGAGGCTCCTCAAAAAACAAGGGATAGAACCAATCACTATATGACCCAGCTATCCCACTCCTTGGTGTTTTCCCAAAAGACCTAAAATGGGCATACTATAGTGATACAGCCACCTCAGTGTGTACAGGAGCACAATTCACACTAGCTAAATTATGGGATCAGCCCAGATGCCCACCAATAGATGAATGGATTAAGAAACTGTGGTACATATATACAATAGAATTCTTCTAAGCCATAAAAAAGAATGAAGTTATGGCATTTGCCAGTAAACGGATGGAAATGGAGAACATGGTGCTAAGTGAAATTAGCCAAACTTAGAAACTCAAAGGTTAAATGTTTCTCTCATATACAGAAGCTAGAGTCAAATAAAGGACAAGCGAAAAGTCTAGTAGAATAGAGGAAGGGAAATGGCAGAGGGGAGAAGAGGACAAGAGGGAAATTAGATTAATTTCCATGCAGTGTGAATTTGTTGGGATGAACCCAGGTATTGTCTATAACTATAAAACTCTAGTTAGAGAGAGAGAGAGAGATAAAGGAGGAGAATTGAGGGGAAGTGGCCTACCAGAAATCTAGAGGCACTGACAGAAAGGCAGCCAAGACCTTGGTTGCGTTTGCTCTTTCCAGGGAATTAGCAGAGGCTACTTTATCAACAGGTGACAAGGTGATTGATGGACCGCTCAGGAGGAGATGTGATGTGGTGGCTAGATTGGGTAAACGGAAAAGAAAGGCATGGGAAATGACAGCCACTGCCAGAGCAGTTCAGCGAGCTTCAGGCTAGAAATAATGGCTAAGGAATTGTTGTTTTATAAAACTTTAATGCTGTTCTTAAAAATCAGAGCCCAAGGCTGAATTATCAGGGTCTTTCAGATACATGCCTAGAGTATACCTGCTGTTTTTTTGGTTTATTTCAGGCAGAATTCAAGTCTTCCAGCTCCAGCAGGGTCTCAGTATGAATGTGTATAGTAGGAAGAAACGGGGAGTGGTCACATTTGGTATGTGGTTGGTTGCTGATGGCTTTTTAAAGTAAGACTCTTGAGTGAATATTTCTTTCTCCCTTTCCCCTCTCTCTCTCTCTCTCTCTCTCTCTCTCTCTCTCTCTCTCAACAACAACTAGAAAGACCTCTAGTTTTCCAGATTCCCGGAACCCTGGTCTCTATGCCACATGGACATTATCCACCTCCTCTGTGTCCTCCCAAGGCAGCATTTCAGAAGGTGATCCCCAGCAAAGCCGTCCCTTCAAATCCGTCTTTGTGCCCACCACGGTAGTCAACCCTGTGAAGAATGCAACTGGAAATTTAGGACAAGGGTCTCTTCGGAAAGGGCGGAGCAGCATGAGAAAGAGTAAGTGGTGGCACAGAGGTATGTGCCTAGAGTTGGCCGATGGCAGCGGGGTGCAACCCCAGGTACACAGGGTGATTTTCACTAAAGCAAGATCTTGGCTTTAAGATGAAAATTTGCAATTCCCTAATGTGTTTTTTACCAAATGATCAACTGGAAGTCCCTGCCCTGAGTCACTTTTTGCATGCACAGTGAATGGCTGGGATGATAGTCCTAAGTGTCATACAGCCAAGGTGAATGTTGGTTCTTATTAAGACAGGCTGACCAAACCTTTGCTGGGCCAGGGCTTCCCAAACTATGCTCTAGGGAAGCCCCCAAGGTTTGGGTGCTCCAGAGCTCAGGAGAGGAAGCAAGAATAGAGCAGTGCTCAGAGTCCCTGCTATTTATGTGATGTATGCACAGGGTTAAAAAATTCTAGCATAAAAAGTATTCAAAGCAGGTTTCTCTTATCTCCTTAACCCTCAGTTTGAAGTTTTTTCTAGATAGATAGAAAGACACACCAATCAGTCACATTCATAACACTGCTCTGCACTTTGCTTTTATTTTATTTTTACCTACGTAACATATACATTTCAATATGGCAATACATATAGACTTGTCATTTCAAGAACTATGCTTTTATCTCTCAACATATTAAACTTCTAAATAAGTTCGCATTTTCAGAAGTGTCTGACTCTCTCTTCTACAAAACATCAAGGTTTTCTTCATTTGTAACCAGCCAAGTGCAGTAAATACGATTTCCTGATTTAAACTAGGCTCTGCAAACCCTCTTGCAATCTTAATAAGTGGTTTAACAAATTTAAACAAGTGATTAGACTTGAAAATATAATATGAATAGTTTGGGAAGAAGAGAAACCTGTGGGATAATATGCCATGTGGGGAAATTTCCCAAGAGAAAGAAAGCAAATATCTCCCCTCTGTTCTGTCCCTGTGTTTCCCACTTCCCTGGTCACCAGGCTCACTGCTCTGGTCACTTAATTCCACCCAGCTGTACCTCCTGCCTTTGCCTCTTGCTCCTACCTCTTCCTCCCCTCTCAACACACACACACACACACACACACACACAAATAAGTAATTCCATCACAATAGCCTTGGGAAGTTACTAATCTCATCAGACTTAAGTGTTCTCATTTGTAAAATGGAAATAAAAATAATACCTGTCTCATCAGCATCACTATATAGATCTAATAAAATAATCTGAACAACATCAGTACAGTGCCTGGCATAGAAGCTCTCAAGAAACATTTGCCTTTTCAAAAATTGTATCATTTTATTAGTAAAATAACTTTTATTAGTAAATAAATTATATCATTGCTGCTACAAATAAAGAGTTTAGTCCATCCAGAGCATGAATTTGTTTAGGGTTGAAAGGGTTCACTCTCATTCTGGACCAATGAGGAATGCAGAGAATTCGGCCCATCCTCAGTGGCTTGCAATTTAATACACTCTCTGACACCTGCACATAAATCTTGATCGGCTTGAAGCTCTGACTGCTTGCATTATATGCACATGCAATAAGAAAGCACTCAATCTTTTGAAAATTAGAAGCTCACAAGATAAATAGGCAGGAAGACGATTTTTCACATGTTTATGGGCACCTGAGGACATGCCTGCCCAGTGTTGCTTTGACTTCCCAAGTCCCAGAGGCTTTCTTTTTCTCCCTTTTCCCCAAGGTGGGGCTGGTCAAGCTATCCATCTCCCCAAAGTGAAGAGAAATGACAGGAGATTGACCATGTGCACCTCACAGGACTGTCAGTGAAAAAATAAATGTTCAAACTGAAAGGTCAGACTTGTGTAAATGGTGGCGGACTTGCTAGCAGCAAACAGCTGAAAACACCAACTGTGTTTGGTGAGCCTTCTGCGTTTCATGTTCCCATTCGGCTTGACAGAGAGCCACAGAGCAGAACTTGGCCTTGGCTCAGACCTTCTGTGCTAGATGCAAACGACTTTGATTCAAACATGTGTCCATGGGGTTTCACGAAAGACTAACAGCTCTGGCTGGGACATTCCTATGCCTCCCCCAAATACTGGGAACCCTTTGGAAAATGTCCCACAGTGCTTCTCAGGGGGTCTTCCTGACAGTCCCAATGAATCCTGGGTTCTCCAGGTCACCTACAGGCCATGTGCAGAAAAGGTGGGATCTCCTGTCTTTAGAGAATTTCAGGGGAAGGAATGGCTTCTTTATGCTGACGAAGGACTAGCTCAATGTTAAAGAAAGAAAAAAAAAATGAGTTCAGGAAAGGGTGAAACCAAACTCTTGAACTTTGAATTTTCAGGTTATGTGGTTCTTTACCCCAAATAATGATAGCTAACAAGAGTGGGGCACTCTTACATTCCGGCACTGTCTGACTACCACTGGGTACCCATCATAAGATGAGATCCTCACCACATCCTATGATGAGCTGTTATCATCTCCAGTTAACAGTGAGGGTACTGAGGGAGAAGGTGTGACTCTCCTCTCCAGATTTAGGTCATGAGACCTTGCAAAGCTCACCGCACATGCAGCCCTAACTCCAGAATGACATTTATGAATCTGCCTCTGTCTGGAAGATACTGCCCTGACTAGTCATGTCTGGTCTGGCACATGCACTTATTTCCACTCACCCCTGAATACCCCCACAAAAAGCATCCTCACCACCTCATGACTAAAGCTTCTGCTAGAACTTTCTGATGCAAGTAGCTGATTAGAGTCCTCTGGTCCCCTCTTCTCTCTCTTTTCTTCTTTCCCTCCCTCTTGTCCTTCTCAGTTGTCTGTCTCTTGTGTTTCTCAATTGCTGTTTTCTTTCTGTGTCTGGCTCTGTTTTTCATTTCCTCTTTGGTGTGCCTGCTTCTCACTGTGAAGCTGTCTTTGTGTCACTCTTCTTCACACTCTGTCTTTAAGGCCTAGAGGGAGAAAGTAGGAGAGTGTGAACATAAGTGTGTGTGTGTGTGTGTGTAATAGACATATCAAGATCACACCAAATCACACGAGAGAGAGAGAGAGAGGTGAATGGAAGCAATAGTCCTTCTGACAACACACACACACACACACACACACACACACACACACACCATTCAGCTAGCCAGTTACTTGCTGCCAGCAAACAGCACTAAAAAAAGAATAAGGTCACCTTTGAAAGACCCCAGGAGAATGTGAGCTCAGTCAAATTAGGAAAGCACTTGACTATTCTGGGATATCAGGACACACTGCTTACCCAGCCCTGACCCAACCTGCTGTCAGCCACCGCTGTTGCTGATATCTCTGTCATATAATCCCCTAGATGGATCCCTGCAGAGATCGGTGCAGTCAGGGATCCCCTCCTTCATGGTGGGTTCCCTCAGACGCAATCCCACCATGGTGGTACAGCCTCAGCAGTTCCAGTTCTACCAGTCTCAGGGGATCCCGTCCTCCCCATCAACGGTGGTGGTGGAGATGGGACCCACACCAACTCCCACTGGGGAGCCTGCCCTCACCTGCGTCAGCAGAGGCAGCGATGCCAGGATCCACTCGACAGCCAGTTCAGTCATCATGGAAGGCAAGGAAATCCCCATCAAGAGTGAGCCTCCGCCAAAACCACCCGCATCTGCCCCACCATCAATCCTGGTGAAACCAGAAAACTCAAGAAATGGCACCGAAAAGGTAGGAATAAAATCACAGGGGACCTGACTCTAGCTCCCAACTTTATACACTGTCCCAGCTCCTGAGATCTTAGTGTTGGTAGTCAAGGACCCAAAGTTGCATCCTCAAAACTATTCTGACACCCAACACCCCCACAGCCTCACACTTTCCCCTTCCTAGATGTGTTACTGATTCACCTTTATTCTTCACAAATATTTTGTACACATTTCTTTTGAGACCCAGAGGTGGCTTGGAACAAAACTGATTGTGGCATCAGACAAAACTTGATTTAAATTCCAGCTCTGCTACTTGCTGGCTGGGTGGATTTAACCAAAACACTTCACCTTTCAAGTATTTATTTATTTATTTACTTACTTACTATTTTTTGCCTAATCCACAAAATGGAGATAACAGTTGATAATGGCCACATAGGTTTAGAGAATTAAATGGTGTTAAGGTATATGAAGTCCTCACATCATAATTGACACATAATTATTCATCATGTCAAAGAGGTAATAGACAATAACTCCAACAACTAAGTTATTGTGACCTCTGTGGCAGAGGTCAGATCGATTAACTTCTAATATGATTTCTTTTTTCCATAAAATTCAATCCTGGTGTCCCCAAATGAGAATCCATGTTTCTTCTTACTGCTTGACTTTCACCTTATCTAGCTGGGGTCTGGGGACTTACTAAACACTTACAGTTTGAAGGTTGTATCTAATAACTTGAGTTTTTGTACTAGAAGACATGGGGTTTTGTAACATCTGAAGCAATAAGGGTGATGGAAAGGAAGAGATGATACAGAGAAATCTAGGTGACGCTCATTGTTATCTTCTAGTTTATTTAACATCATTATTGCCACCAGATCACCACCATCACGCATCACCACCACCATTACCAACACCATCACCACCATCTTACCATCATTCACCCCATTCCCCCACAAAATGGAAAGAGTCTGAAGTTTCCTCCTGTTTCTAAGTACTTACTAATTATTAACTACCCAGCAGGCACTATGCTGAGAACTTCGCACATCCCTTCTCACTTAATCCTAACAGCCCTCTGAAGTGGGTATTACAGGCGTGTACCACCATATCCGGCACTTTATTCTCATTTTTAAATGAGGAAATGGAGGCTCAGAGAGTTAGAAAACATGACATAAAGTCACCCAGCTGACACCTGAGTGTCTGGAATCAAATCCAGATCTGATATAAAAATTCATGATCTTAATGCTAACCTATAAGCCTAGAGGGAAAGGCATTTGGAAAAAGTTAGTGTTGACTGATATAAATGTTGGGAGTTTTTATTATGACTTACAGTTTTCACATAATTTAAAGTTTTCCAAGCACCAGTTACCCAATAACCCAAATTATAAGTGCTTAGTAAGTCCCCAGACCCCAGCTAGATATGGCGAGAGTCAAGAGGTATGAGGAAACATGGATTCTCATTTGGGGACACCAGGATTGAATTTCTTGGAAAAAAAGACATCATTCCCAGGCAGTACCACAGAACACTTACTAAGCCCCAAAGTAGGAATTGGCCAAAGCAAATACCTGTAGCTACCAGGAATTACATAATAGCTTAGGAGAGGTGAGAGGAAGGAAGGTTGAGGGGGGGCTTGGAGCAAACTGAGACTCAAGTCTCATACAACAGGGAACTGCTTCTTGGCTCCAGCCAGGTATTGCCAGAATGGGGCAAAGGCCCAGTGTGCCAGATCTTTGATTTTTTAAAGAGACATGAAATCCTGATTTGTATATGCAGTCTTCATATGAGGGGGAGTAAATCAAACCCTCATACACTCTGAAGGCTAAATTCAACCAGCAGGTGTCCAGGGAGCTAACTCTGCACTGAGGACGTCCAAGGCCATTACAGAAAGCTCTAAATGTAGTCATCAGAGAGGCCTGGAGGAAAAGCTAACCTAGAGATAGACCTTAATGGAAGGCAGATGTGAGAGAGGCAGAAAGGGAACTTCCCTTCTCTGCAATTGCCTACACTCTTCCTAATTGTTCTTCAATTCTCTGATAGCTTTCTCTAGGAAGCCTTCCCTGACTATCCCCATCCCAGCTGGAATTAGATATTCCTCTGAATTCTCAGCATCTTCTACTTCTCCCATCAGAGCAGTTGTTACAACTTTCTGCTTACCAGGGTGGTTTTGTTCACTCTGAGACTCCAAGCACCTAACAGTGCGTGATGCATGCTAAACACAGTAGATAGAAATATTTGCTGAATGAAAACCACACAAATTTGGAATTTTGAATGGGGACAGGTGTAGAGAAATAGCATGAACTCAGTCCTGAGGGGGAATAGTATGTGTCTCACCCATGTTCCTTTCTCTTGCAGCAAGTTAAAACCGTGAGATTTCAGAATTATAGCCCTCCTCCCACCAAACACTACACTTCCCATCCCACCTCTGGAAAGCCTGAACAGCCAGTCACCTTCAAGGGGTCCCTGCCCGAAGCAGCCCCTTTGAGCTCAGAGATGACCATCCTATTTGCCCATCGAAGTGGCTGCCACTCTGGACAGCAGACAGACCTCCGGAGAAAGTCAGCTTTCACCAAGATCATGCCTCCAGCATCCACTGCCTCAGCCACACAGACCGCGTTTCCCAGCAAATGAATCTACCGGTGGCTTTTCCTAGACCCCAAAGAGGTGAATTGCATTTAAATACAATCTGCATCCAATGAGGGTGTCCTACTGTTCTTTGGGAACTGGAGCACAGGTCTTTGTTCTGCCCATTTTATTTGTAGGAGAGGGAAGGTGGGAGAAGGAATTCCTGCCCCAGGTTGGATGGTCTTCCAAATAACAATTTGATGCAGCAAGGCCATCCACACTGTTCAGACTAAGGAGAGGGACCCACTTTGTCCTCCAGCATGCAGTGTTTGTGTTCTGTGTAAAATTTCTGTGGTGTTCTAAAAGGGGCTTCAACCAGAAGCATGGCAGTGGTGGGATCGTTGGCATGGCTTCTTTAACCTTAATGCCATTTTCTCCTCTTACCAACATGTTAGAAGAGCTTCTGACACCTAATACAGGCCATACACTGCCATTAGTAGCTGCCATGTCTTTTTCCCTCCAAAAGAGTTATAATTCTGGCTGAGAGGGAAGAAGTTCTGGGAGGGGTATGAGATGGATACTTTGTACATTCTGAGAACTCACTAAAACCAAAGAGAATCAGCTTCCTGAGTTTGCTCCAAATGAGAAGGTCAAAGAGATCTAACTACCAATTATCAAAAGATCACCATATTTTAAACTTCTCAATCTGCTTCTCCCCATGTTATTCTATACAAAGTTAAGTGATAAGAATGGTGCTGCAGATAGGGTCATGCGTGGTATTATGGACAATTCATTCATCCTTCCCCAAGAAAACATGGTGTGCTTTAAAACAACCTGCAATGGGGCGTGGTGAGTTTAGATACATAATCTGCTTTGTAGCACTTTTGCTTTCCCTGGTGTCTTCTCATTTGGGGCAGACTGGTTGTTTCCCCCCATAAGACAACTATGTCAATGACAATATGCCAATACAAGGTTGGAGAGGGGATACTTTGAGAGGAAACTGCTAGAAAGGGACTGAACAAAGAAGATTAGACAGGAAAGGGGGAGAACGGAGGAGGAAAAAAGGGAAGGTGAAAATGGATGGAAGAGAGAAGAAGAAAAGGATGAGAGTGAAGAGAAAGATGAATCTGAGAAGATAAAAGAGACGTGGAGGGAGGAGGTAGCCTTGACATTCCTGGCAGAGAGGGAAGAAAGGCCAGTCTGCAATGGAGAAAGGGGCAAGGGCAACCCCATGAAGGTGGCATTGAAATGATCAGGAACCAGCCATGCAGAGCTTTATAAACAGGGGTGAGGAGGCAACCCAGGGAGCCAAGGCCATGCTGTAAGACACCCCATTAATTCTCATTAAACTTAATTGTTGTGATTAACCTGTACTGAATGCCCATCAATGGGGACAATGTGATGCGTAAAATGACATTTGCTACTAAGGCTGAGTTCCATTAAACAAAAAAAAAAAAAAAAGCAGGTCTAAGTAGACCTTTCCTGTAAACAGTTCTTGAAGTTCTTAGGATTACAAACATGTATTTTTTACCTACCCACACACATGGAAATTAGAATTATTCATAGATTATTTTTATTATTTGCTCTTTTTAGATAAGCATGACAGTCGAGTGTCTTCTGGCATATTATACACATGTGGGGAGTTTAACTTACTCTAATTAGGATCCTATTATTGTGGTGTACATGATGTGGAATTGCACTGGTTGTGTATTCAAATATTTCAAATACAAGGCTAGGAAAGTTATATCCAATTAATTCTACAGTCTTTCCTATCTTCCTTCCTCCTCCCTTTCCTTCATTCCCCATTGTCAAATCCGATGAACTTCTATTTGTCCCCTCCCCACCCTTCCTTGTTGTGGTTTAGTATCCACATACCAGAGAGCACATTGGACTGGCTTATTTCACTTAGTATTATGTCTCCAATTCCATAGATTCTTTCAGAACTTAATAGAATAAAACGAAACATACTCCTGCCAAGGAATACTACACATGGGTCAGATATTTGGAACTGGTAGAGCCAACATTGGTAGCATGTTGCTCTACCATTTCGGTGAGATATTGACCCATGTGTATGCCACAAAATCAATACGGCCAACTTCATGCCTCAATGAACTGAATCTTATCATCCAGGTGGAGCTATGGGATAAAGTCACAGGGACGAGAAACATGATATGATTTGTCAAATATAAGTGTCTATGCCTCATCTTTATCCCAAAGCATTCTCAATGAGTTTATCAGCTACACCCAGAGTGGCAGAGATATGGCATGACAAGCCAACCACATAGTTAGCCTATGCCTCAGTAGCAATGGATCCAGTTAATTTCTAATGTCTATGGCTGCCAAGCAGGTTGTTTAGGCATGAAGAAAATGAAAATGGAACGTGAAACAAAAGAGTCTTGCCACTGTCCACTATCCCCACAGGATAACCTCTTTGAGAAATGTAAACTATTCAAGGCTTGCCACCCTCCCTTGCACTGAGGTCACCCACGCCTAGCATCACACTCACTGCCTCCCACACCAAACACCTTCTTTGTAGAGTTTTATGCTTGTTTGAAAAAGGAACAAGAGGATATTGTTTCTAGATAAAAATGGACTTCACTGCCCCTTCAATTCATTTATTCCACCAACATGTTTCTAACATTGACTACATAGTGGGGACAGCAGTGAGGACCATAGACTCATCCTCTTGTGCAATTTCCATAACAACTTATAGGGCAGCCATAACTGTCTCCATTACAGAGCCAAAGAAACAGGCTGGCAGATTAGCCACAGACAGTAGCAGAGCAAGGAATCTGACATCAAAGCCCAACTTGTGATTGTGCTGTATGAACCCAAAGGCCATCCTTGACTTTAGGACATACTCTAGACTGCTACGAAGCTGCATGGTGCAACTTTGGTGACAAATGCAAAGAAGCCCAGCAAGCTCTGCTGCACATGAACTGAGTTCAAGCTCTCATTTATCACTTTCTGACCATGTGATACTAAGCAAGCTACTTAATTAACATCTTGGAGCCTCCTTATCTTAAATAAGAATGTTGATGGTTCCAGCCTCACTGGGCTGTTGTGATGATTAACTGAGATAATAATGCATAGTGACTTAGTGCCGGCACACAGTGAACACCTAACAAATTCTAGACTTGGATTTTTTTTTAAATGGCTGTTGAAACTCCAGGTGGGAAATTCTAGAACAAGTACATGCTCAGGATTGTGGTGCTAAAAGGAAACCCACAGCACCTAGTTCTAGAGTTGAGAACACAGTCTAAGCTGAGTCCTGAAGGACAAGTCAAAGTCAGATAGACAAAGCAATGGGAGACAGGGTCTTCCAAGCAGCAGGAGAGCCCTGGCAAGTGGGTTTAAATGTAGCAATGAAGCCAAGTTCCCTTGTACTTACAGGAATCCATTGCTTTGTGGAACATTCCAGAAATCCTAGATAGAACCCCAGCACCTCAAATCAGAAGGTGAAAATTCCAGCCTGGAAGAGCTGCATCCCTCAGTTAAGACCCAAATGCCTTAGAAAAGGTGCCTTTTACCACATAGACCCCCAAACCATGGTGTTAGGAAAGGTGCTGAGGGTTGGATTTGACTGGTGGAAATGGGACAGCTAAGAAGTGACAATGGATTACAATAGCTGGGGACATTCTCTAGGAACCATATTGTCTCATTAAGCAGCATCAAGATTCCCACTTAAAGCTTTTCTGCTTCCCTTGCTATGTAGGACCAGCCTCACTTCCACTCCCTTCAGTCATCCATAGACAGGGTTTATGGAACAGAAGACTTGGAAGCAGGGCCCCACCTGTGACTTGATGAGGTGCAGGACTGACCCAATTCCCAGCCCAATCACTTCCTACATCCTGAAAAGTCAGAGGGTCTGTCCATAGGAACTCTGCTTTCCTGAGCAGCAGCAGTCCAGGGGTCAAGGTGACTTCAACAAATGGACATGCACTCGTTAATTTGCCGCAGCCCTACATACCTGCTTCACACACTCACACAACCTGCACCTGAATTAGGGATAATTTGCCAAAGAAACTATATGCAGGATACCCTCTCAGGTCATCAGAAACCCTTCAAAAGGTAGAGCTGAATCCTTGAATCAGCTGATACAGAACACTCAGGTCTCCCAAGTGTGGTGAGCCTAACCTGGGCTCTAGAGAGTCTTATTCAGCAATTTTGAGGTGGGAACTAGATATCTGTTTTTAAACAAGCTCCCTAAGTGACTCTCAAGCACATGAAATAGAGCTAATCAGTTTTCTCTTATTGAATATGAGAGCTGACATTTGGCTATGACATTCAGCAGGAGTACAGACACACTGGTTTTTAAAACATTAAAACAGGTCTGTAGAATAGGTGAATCACAGATGCTCTGAGCTCCCTGAGGCTTCTCCCCTCCAACACCCTGACCCTTACCCAGATTCTCTCCATCATTCTACTACCCAGCAGCTATTGCACCAAGGCCAGGCATAGCTAATATCCACAGCAATAAAGCCCTTGTTCATTCTGAACTGATAGTGCCTACGTCATACTGGTTACTGAATGCCTTGAATGTTAGCCTACAGTAAAGAACTCAGAGAGGTTGCTCAGAGGCTGAGAGCATGTAAAGCAAGCCCAGTACTCTTCCCAGCTCCATCCTGCCCTTGACAACCACCTTCCCCAGACCTAGGCCCTTGACCAAGAGGGCAGTTCCATACTTGCTAATCTACCTGTTTCAGCTAGCATATTCACTGGCATGTGTGCTTACCAGCTATTCTGGCACCCATTTGGCAGGTGTGGAAGTCATTTGTTTCAATGACATGATCAGCATCCACTCTCATCCTCTCATCTGCCTCTGATCACCCAGACCAGCCACATACCTCTGAACACTCCCCCTGGGAGGTGATCAGCTGTGGCAAGCAGAATAGCAAAGACCTCTCAAGTCTTTCCAGGTGGGACCAAGTGCTTATCAAGCTGGCACCAGTCAGTGCCGGAGCTAGCAGCTGCTGACACTGATGCTTTCCTTGCATATATTTTGAGAGAAAAGGCCCCAGTTTTCCTTTTGGCTAAGAGAAGAGATTGTTAGTACTTCAGCAAACTCTCAGGTGACCATGAAAGACAGTCACTTAGGG